CAAACATCAGTATAAAAGGCCACTGAATGATACTGACAGCCACATGGTCAATGGCTTGAGTAAAACAGCACCAGAGCAGGTAGGTGAACAGTGATTCTATTCTGCTAACGGAATCAAGAGATTAATGTGTTTTTAATTACTATATTCTATTAACATATGTGTAAGTCATTAAATGAATAGCAGGAGAGCAGGAATTGCCCCATTCCCTACTAGAAACAGCAAGTGCTGGTTTCACAGGGATGAACTGTTGCTTTCACGCGGCTGATGTAGTGGATTGTGCTTATAAACATCTCTGTCAGCCATTATCTAATTACAGTGATGGATTGCCATTATCAAGCAAGTCTCCTTTAGGGTAAGTGGCAGAAAGAGGGAGAGGGAAGAACAGAAGCAATTTCTTATAAAAAACAACAACAAAAAACAAAAAATGATGGCACATTTCAATAGGAACACATAAAAGCCCCAGAAAACAGCTTGGGAGCTCACTAATGAAGCCAGGCAACATCTGTAAGGTACAGGGAACAAGCAGAAGGAGAAAAATGGTAATTAAGATCATGGTCCTCCAGCAGTGGGGAACACAAATGAGGCAAGTGCAAAAAAAAAAAAAAAAAAAAATCATGCATCATTATAATTCATTAACAGGCTTTATTGTTGGAGCACTGGCTGAAGGCCTAATGTCCAATCTCTGAAGGTCAAACTAGATAAAACATCAGGATATTGTTATGCACTTAAACCATCTGGAGCCAATCTTTTCATTGGCATCAATGGAAGGTTTTATTTTAGAAGCTGAATTTCCATGGAGAAGAGTTGTTTGGGGGTGCCAAAGTGCAGAGGGAAAACAACCAAATTTGGTTACGGTGAGCAAGAGGAGGTAGAGCCAAAATTAGCTACCATTGCTTAGTAAGAAATCCCAATGTTATGAAATTCAATAAAGGCAATATGAGACTTAAATACTGCTAAAGCATACATGGCTGACTTAAGAATTAGTAATGGCCATGTATTATGTAACGATGAGCTGGTCCTTTGAAAATTGGACCTATTTTCTTTATCTATCATGAGCTAGGGAAGCAATGTGCTTGTGACTGGCATGTAATTAGTCACAAAAAGCATGTAAAAAGCTATCTAGATAACACAATAAATAACAAGATCCTCAGTCTTTCTTGTGCCAGAAAAGACACAAAAAAGATAGGGGTTGAAAGGATGCATCAGATGGTCCATGGGCAATTCCCCCCACTCCACCCCAGCAACTGTTAGCATCACTTTTAGTCAAATAAAAGCTCTCCTCAAAGAGTGGTAATTAATGTAACTAAGATAATAATACTTTTCTTCCCTGAGGTCCAAACTTGTTTAGAGGTGATGGGTTGGATCCAAGACACCCACCTCATTGATGGAAGGGCTCCACTCAGAAGAGCTGCTTCTGCCAACTCTTCAGGCATCTCCCCCTGGCCTCTGCACCACAGCTAACCTCACTCAACAGGGCTCTCTGTGCAGCATCTTCAGAGTGACTGCTTGATGTTAGGGAAGTCTCTTTCTATTAGTCCAGGTGTATGTACCTAATCAGGATCTCACCTCTAGTAATTTCTGTGTATTTTGCTGTCTTCATAAACATGTGAGTTCTTCATGGGATAAAAGACAATAGGAAGTTGATGTTTAAATCCAATGACTTCCAGTTACCTGGGCTGTGGATTAGGTTTGGACAAGTGGGATCTGTGCAGATTGTCACAGCGTGGAGTGGTCCTCAGGATTTCAGCCAGCCGTGGCCCCTTTCAATATATTTCTTTCCATTCCTTCACTGCACAACAGATGCTCAGCATTCTGTTGCATTGAGTGTGGTCGGTGCTGAGTAGGCTAACTTCAGCATTTTCACTCTTAAATTTCCTCCTCATGATTTAAGGTGCAGTCCAATGTGACTGAGCATAAGAGATTATGGACATCCTATGCATAATGGGGAATGCAGAGGGGTAGATTGCCTTCCTGCTCCTTGTGTCCTGCGGATTAGCTACACAGCTGATCTGTCATCTCACTGAAGCTCCTTGAAGTGGGAGGGAAGGAGGCTGAAGCATTGCCAGGATACCTTGTATCTAGGTGATGCTAGTCTCCCCCCCTTTCCCGAATACCCCCTTTGCCCTTAAGATTATGCTCTCACTCTTATGACTTCGGACAATCATTCTTAGCTAGTCTCTCTTCTCCCTTCCCAGCAGGTCAAGATTAGAAGCTTCTAACTATACTTTTTTATTATGTTAAATATGTTAGTTATGTTAACTGACTAGTCAGGACTAGCTTTGTGATACAAGAGGAGTAATATAAAGGTTATTAGCAGAAAGTATCCATCAAGTTAATGAGCCTACTAATTGTGAATTTAATTCTTCCCATGCCAGAATTTGATCCCAAATTAAATCCCTGTTCTCCACCAAATAGGATTGGCTCTATCCTCAGGGAGGTTAATACTACTTGTGGGCCAAACAGCAGTTACTTGTCTACTTATTTGACTTGGCATTGAACCACTGGACTGATCCAATTATACCCCCACAACCCTTCCAGTGCCTCCCCCTTGAGAAGACCAATCTGTTTCTCACCAGTTCCCTTGCTTATCTCAAAGCTTTTCTGATATTTCAGCTAAGTACTCCAAACCCATTTCTTCTTTCAGTTCAGATTCAGTCTGAAGAATGCTGTGTTTTGGGAGAAATGGGCCAGGTCCCTACAGCAATGTGGCTCTTCCCATGCTGACTGTGGGGGAAAGTGCAGTGAGGGCAGCTCTGCAGGTCCAAGGTCAGAGCATTTTTTTCTCAGTCTCAAGAGTGGGAATCTGAAGCATTCTATGGTCCTCCAGAGACCATCTAGGGACCCTAGGATTGCTCAGCCTATTATGCATTTAAAGTTCTCCTGAGGATGCCAGTGTCTTGCCCTTTTTCTTGGCTGTATAGCTTTGGTGACAAATTATTAAAGAGTTTGATATTTAAAAGCTGTTCATCTCTGATTTTGTAGCACATTATAATATGTAAATTGGCCCACAAACTTGATGTCTCCATCCCCAGAATATCAGGGACATCTGTTTATCCCCAAATTTTCTTATGTAAATGTTCCAAGTTCTACAGGATATCATATGAATGGTTTTCATTCTTATTGCTACCACATTATATGCTATCCTTTTTCCTCTAGTGAGATTTAGCAGTGTGCAGTGACAGAAAGACATAGAAACTGATAGTTTGGTTCTCTAACAGCTTTGGACAGATAAAAAAGAGGGAAAGAAAGGAGGTTGTACTTGAGTGATTCATAGCTTCCAAGTAATGCATTTTTCTGTTCAGGTTATCATCCAGGGAAATAAATCTATAATCCTGCAGCACAGGGCATGAGTCACATCCATAATATAAAACAGTTAAAAAGCTCAATTTTCCAGAAACATTTGAATAGAGGCAAGTTGCACAAGACAAATTAGCTTTGCAAATTAATTTTGGTACCTTTTGAGCTCAGCAAGGCATAGGCAATGTTGGCTTTAACATGTCCTAGTGAGGATTCTATCATCATTAACAATTATGTTTATATAGTAAAAACATTTCTCTATTTGTACTTCTATGGATCTTCATAGCATGATCCTCTGTGTACTTCCCCAAAAGTTTCACTTGAGTTTACTGAGGCTCATTCCCCTGTCAATATGCTGAGGGTTACAGGCCATTTCAGCAGGTCTTACTCCCATGTGAACAAGGGTGCTTCCAGACAAGGCTTTTATCAGCACCACACTACCTCATTCATACACCGAATTTTGCAGACGTCCCAGCAACACAGTCTTCTAATTGTACTGCTCTTATGCTTTCCCCAGCTTCGACGGTATTTTCTCTTTTTACCAGAAAAACGAAGAGTGTTGAGATAGAAAAGGCAGAATAACTGCACCCTTCCGAGCAGAAGGCATCCCGGTCCTTTCAGGTTAAATTGTGCGAAAGAACCCAGCGGTGGCGCAATAAAACCTTCACTTGGAATCACGCTTAGTGCTACAAGCCCTCGATTTAGAAGTACCCCGTGCCTATTTAGGAGGGCATTCTTGGAATCTTCACATGAATTCTCTCAACCATCAGGGCATGACGCTTGTCAAGCAGGCAGGCAAGGGCAGAGCCCTTAAAATGCTGCATCATTTTAATCTTCCCATCAGGAATGGCCGGAAACAGCATCCAGGGCTGCAGCCGATATTCAGGCGCGGTTACTGGAAAGCCACGTGAGTCCGACAGTGTGAAATGGAATTTTACTGTGAATATAGTGAAATACACCCTCAAAACGATAAGGGGGCCATCATATATACACATAGAAAGCAACAGTGGCGTGTAATAGCGATTACATTGAGGAGAACAGGAAATATGAGGGTCTGGTTAGACCAGAATGGAAGTGTGGAGGAGATGGTGTGCCACGAACTATTGTACAGGCACCACACTATCTCATAGAATCATACAAAAGGAAGCGAAAGACATTATCAACAATCATGGGGTGAATTTATTAATCTTAGGCTGCAATACAATGCCCATTTATCTGAGAGTCACATCCATTAAATTCACTTACTTCCTAGTAGACTTGTATAGAATTGCGCTATTAAGCTGCAAACCTATCCATATTTACGTGGGAGTAAGTCCCATTAAACACATTGGAACTCGCTTCTAAGTGGACGCGTATAAGATTGCACTGCTGGGTGCCAATAAAAGAAAGAAAGACATAAGAAAAGTAAATAGCTGCGCTTTCTTTCTTTTTTAAAATGACATCATTTTTTGCTTTGTTTTATATTGAGAAGCCTAGGCGGGCGCGAGTCTACGCCATCCTACAATTCACTCTTCGGAGAAACGTGTTTCCCGACACAGAATACCAGCGTTAGCGCAGGCGCTTTCAAGCTGTCTCCCAGAACTACATTACCCAAAAATCTGTAGGACTCACACTTTCCTTTCTCTAGTACTTTTACCTCAGAGACTACGTTACCCAAAAGGCCGCGCGAAGGCAAAGTGAGAGACTACATTACCCGGAAGCCTTTGTGGGGACACAAAGCTGTCGTGGCGTTTGTGGGGTGATCGGGAGAGTTCGTCAGGCTTTTTTTACACACACCCCATTCTCTTTCCTCGGTTGAGTGCTGGCTTCAAGTGTTACAAGGAGCAAGGCTTTATTCCATCTCCCCACGGCGTGCCAGGATGAGGAGGGCTGGGCTGGGTAAGTGGCGGTGAGCTGGGGTACTCTGGGACCGCTTGGCCGGGCCTAGGTGGGATGAGATTTGTTGTCAAGGCCTCGGTTGTTAAGGACCTACCACATTCAGACTCTTAAGATCTAATCCAAGACTTTCCAGATACTACTTTAGATCACCCCTAGGAGGCTGGAGCAGGAACGCCTATTATTATTATTATTATTATTATTATTATTATTATTATTATTATATGAATGCCTATTATTAGTAGTAGTACTAGTGTATTTCCTAATCATTTCGTTTCTATACCTTCTAAGAGCCGCAGCTCTCTGGGAGGTTCACAGCAATTCATACAATTAGAACACACTAATGGACATAACATGGCAATTTAAAAACATTAAAACCATTCAAAATATTTAAACCAAAATTGTTACCAGTGGAAAGCAAGGGATTGGAACATAATTGCTTCATTATCCCTCCTCCCCCCAGAATGTTTTGTTAATCTCATCCCAGTACTGATGTGCTCAGTAGGACCTATTCCTAAGTAAGTGTGTATAGACCTGCAGCCTTAATTTCACATTACTTGGAACTTAAGGAGTTTCCAGGTGAGCTTGGTGCCATTGCCTTGCTTTTTTAAAGGAATTTTGCCAAGGCTCCAGCTGTTACCTTTTACACATAACCTTCTCATTTTTTCCGACCTCTCCTTGTTTTCTTTCTATTGCAGAAAATATGAAAAAAAGTTTCTGCTCGACAATTACCTATGGATGCTCAAATAAAATTCCAATAAAACTACACATTGCCTTCTTTTGTCAGCAGTAGGAGCCTTCCAACCTTACTTGCAGTAGTTGTTGGCTCCTGCCTGAAGTTGATCAAAAGTCTGCAGATATTGGTAGTGCAAGTAGTGTTGTTGAGCTTTCTTGCTTAGGCGCCAAGTTCTGATTTAGTGTGCAATTTTATGCATGTTTAGAGAGGGGAAAAGTCCTCTAACTCTTAGAGAAGTATAAATATAAAGCTCAAGTATCCTTTTAAAATAGTAGATCCTTTGTATTCAATTATGTATTTCATCTAACTCTGCAGTTGTACGTTCTCTGATTGTATGTCTATTTTAACTTCTTTAGTTTATACTTGCATGTTTTACATTTACAAGCCCTCTTTCCAGAGTTTGCCCTTAGTGTATATGTCATGTTGAGAAGTGCTTGAGTCTTCTTCTATCTTGTAACAGCCATATGGCTCTGAAAGTGGATTAAGACAAATTAACACAGCATAAGGTCATCAGTGATGTCTAGTTATGTTGGCTGTCAGTTCTTTTCAGGATCACATGGGGCTGTCTGTTGGGGGACAGCAGTGGGAGAGGCCTGTTGTCCTGAAGTCCGGCTCTGGAATTCATTAGTACCTGTTAGGCCACTGTGGTATAAAGAATTAGATGGGCCTTTGATCTGATCCAGTGGTGTACTTCCAGTGTTCCCTTGTAACCCTTTTTCCAGTAAAGAAGAATGGTAGATGTTGTATTTGAACAAGATAGTCTATTCAAATATTACTGTCTTTGCATGGATGGACAGAGCAGTCACTCTGTATTCCAGTACTGCTTGCATTGCCCTTTTAATGCTTCTTTTCCTAGTACTTTTTAGTGCAATTTTTTCAGTAGCAAAATGACCCTATAACCTGAAGAAAAGAAGCATCCCATTTCTATTCAAGCAGAAATAACTGAGGGTGGCTTAGCCATCCCACTTCCTTTTTGCATTCAGTTTGGGCACCAGCTTCATCCTGAGCTGCTACTGGTGAAACGCATAGATTACCAGTACCAGTAAAGAAATAGTTTTGTTTAGTCGCAAAGTTGCGCCCAACCAATCATGACCCCATGGACAACATTCATCCAGGCTCTCCTGTCCTCCACCATTCCCCAGAGTCCACCCAAGCTCACACCCACTGCCCCAGTGACTCCATGTAGCCACCTCATCCTCTGCTGTCAATCATTCCCAGCACCAGGGTCTTCTCCAATGAGTTGTTCCTTCTTATTAGGTGGCCAAACTATTTGAGTTTCATCTTCAGTATCTGGCCTTCTAAAGAGCAGTCAGGGTTGATTTCCTTTAAGATTGACTGGTTTGATCTCTTTGCAGTCCAAGGGACTCTCAGGAGTCTTCTCCAGCACTACAATTCAAAGGCCTCAATTCTTCAGCACTCAGCCTTCCTTATGGTCCAACTTTCACAGCCATACATTGCAACTGGGAAAAACGTAGCTTTGACTATATGAACTTTTGTCAGCAGGGTGATGTCTCCGCTTTTTTAGTATGCTGTCTAGATTTGCCATAGCTTTCCTCCCAAGGAGTAAGTGTCTTTTAATTTCTTAGATGCAGCCACCATCTGCGGTAATCTTGGAGCCCAAGAAAATAAAATCTGTCACTACCTTCATTTCTTCCCCATCTATTTGCCAGGAAGTGATAGAACTGGATGCCATGATCATAGTTTTCTTAATGTTGAGTTTCCAGCCAACTTTTGCACTCTCTTTCACCCACATCAAGAGGTTCCTCTTCACTTTCTGCCATTAAAAGAAATAGTGTTAAAGTAAAATGACAGTAGTGAGCCAAACCAATAATGTGGTTCCGTTCACTATAGAGGGCAAGAGTAGGCAATCATTTTGGACCATGGACACATTTGCCAAATTGAGAAACTCTCCTGGGCACCACCACAAAATGGCATCCCTGGGAGGCTTAGCAAATCACAAGTAACCTCTCCAAAATACCATGTTCAGTGGTGAGATCTGATCTTTGAAGCCTCATTTTTCAGCACCAGTGAAAACCTATTTCACATCCATTCCAGCTGCCTTAAGAAAATGTGTTGTTATTATTATTATTTTTTTTTAATGGGAAGGGTAGGGTGCCTTTGCCAGTAAGTTGACCAGAGGTGCATTAGTACCCATGGGTACCACATTGCAGACCTGTGGTATAGGGGTTTGTGAATGAGGCTGGTATAAAAATTAAAGCAGTAACTCTGAAGCTACCACCGAAATAGCATTGAGAGGTACAGTACATTCAAGGTCTGGGAGCAGTGAATGTTATAGAAACAGTAGTGTAGATCATGTGGATATTCATATATTCCAGTTGATTTGGTTAACTCAGCTCAACAGAGTTCTTTGAGATTTATTCACAAATAAATATACATGGGCTTAAACTCCCATTCTTCTGTCTCCAGCAATAAATTACATTCAACCGTTTGCTGAATGGATAAGGTATGAAATAGCACTTCCTGTTATAATTGTAATATTATGTAATATGTAAGGAGCTTGCTTAATTTGGTCAGCAAACTAATGGAAAGCTAGGATTTTCTGGAAACAGTCCCTGTGGAATAATTAGGAACTTGTACAAAGATAGGCTGCCTGCACAGTAATTTGGTGGCATTCTGTTATAGCACATTCTGCATAATATGTCTTTCCCTTGTGACATTGTCCTTCTTTACATCTTTCTCCCATTCTTCCCCTTGGACTGCCTTGTCAAAAATGTTATCTTTCTGCTGTGGAGGAACTGCCTCACAAAGTTAGTCAGCTGTGCAGCGATCCATGAATTTTGAGTTGAACTTTCTGGTCTCACCATTCTGTTTTGTAGAGGAGGAAACACAAAGCATCTCAGGAGGGGTGTTTTTTCTTTCCTTTACACTGAACTTTTGCAGAAGTCATGACCACTGTCCCATGGCAATTGCTTTTGGAAAACCTCAGCAAGAAATATTCCCCTTTATTTGAAAACCTGTGTGCCACCCTTCTGTTTCAAAATACTGATACAATAAAATCCCACCACAGTTAAACTCTGTGTTAAAACCACAAGAATGACGAGGCACAACAGAATAATAAAATCCAGCATAAATGGGAACTCATCAGTTAATAACAGCTTCAGTTGATATATAGGAAGGCCTGGCCACGTGGAAGTGTCTTTACCTGCTAATAGGAGGATATCAGATTTGTTGTCAGGAAAGAATTATGCATGCAAGCTTCCATAACTGAGCAGACTCCTTCTTTGGTTTCCATGTGACCTAGTTTAGTAAGTCAGAGGTCTTGGAGGAGGACTTCTGATAATGATTGTAAAGTTTAGGGAGGCCCTAACTCTAACCCTAACCCAAACTGTTTATTACATTAAGGGTGATCACTAGCACTTTGATGCATATTCACAGACAGACATGCATCCTGTGCAGTTGCTTAAGAAATGGCAAAATATAATCTTTGTAGCCAGGCCTCGTTAATAGTAGTCTAGCATTAGTCCGGCAAATAACTGACAGACATTTGTAGGAAATCTTTAAAGCTAGCCTCATCTGTAGCATGCTGCAGTGGGATCAGCATGTTATCAGGGCATGGGATTTGGGATTTCTGTCCCAAAAGGGTTGCAAGTATACCAGTGAAAATTGCTGCATGTAGTAGTTGCCACCTGGGCCTCCAATGACAGAACAGGATCTATCAGCATCGCAAAGCTGTGAATCTGATCCTTTAGAATAGAGGTGGTACATACAGCTTTTGGTCATTCTCTCTGGGGTCCAGGGGCCCCTATCATTTCTTCCCACAGTCCAACAGATCAGTCACCAACTAGGTAGTAGCCAAAAGACCACTGCTTCAATATTAGAACAGTGATCTTAATCAGGATTGTTGGTTATGGGGAAGAAGCTTCAACCTCCCCCTTCCCACAATAGTCACAGTACAGTAGTGGGGAAACAGCAGTCTTGATCTGGATTGTGGCAAGGTAGAAAGGCTTTAAACTTTCCTCAGCTTATAGACTACCCAGCCAGCTTTGTCAGTTGTCAGGGATTATGGGAGTTGGAATCTAAAACATCTGCAGAGCATAAGGTCAGGAAAGCCTGCTTTGATCTCTCTATCTCTGCATGCTGAGATATGGTAGGAAGAGCCCCTGACCCACTACCCTTGTAGCCAAGGAGACCACATAGCCCTTCTTGAGAATTAAACTTCATTGAGAATAGATCCGTCACCACCTTCCTGCTCAGATGAATCACTTAGCAGGAGAAACCTCTATTTTCTCAGAACCAAACTTCAGTC